ATACATCGGGCTAGATGTTGAACGATACTTCTCCTATGCAATTTGCCTGTTTTTAGAGTATTCTGTAGTGAATTGAAGAAGATTTGAACTGAAAATATTGAGCAAATTGAAAAAGGTTACTCCTATAAGAGGTTTAGAAAATCTCTTGTAGAAACAACCTTCTCTGCAAATACTGTTTTTCCTTCCTTATAAATAGTCACCAGAGAGGGCACCAAATCTCAAGCAATAAAGTATTTACTTTCCATTTTAGAGAAATGGAATATGACACTAAGCATTGTGCACACTGCACATGTAAATTGAAAACTTGTATACCACAATTTACTTTTCCGAATGTTGAAGTGCAATTGCAGCTTAAAACTGCACACAAAATATGAACATTTAAAAGCAGCAAACAAAGCCCATGTTTTAAGGGAATATACCAGGGGTGGGTTCTAGCCTGCGTTACTGCTGGTTTGCTCGTGTGTGCGCTTGGCACGTGCCGCATGCACAATTCAATAGAAATTGTTCTGCGCATGTGCAGAACTCCAAAACAAGATGGCAGTGAAGACTGCGGTGACCAGGGAATCGGTTCGGAGGCGTGGCCAGTCTGGGCCACTGCCGGTTCTGCAACCCAGGCTGGCAAATCATTACTGGTTTGGCCGAACCAGGCTAAACTGGTAGTAGTAACCCACCATTGGAACATATGCACAATATAATAGGAAGAAATCACTTGAAATAGCAACTCTAGAAATTGTGCTTTACAAGACAAATGTGCATGGAAATGGATATATTTTCAGATTGACTTTTCCCCCCTCTGAATTTGCAAGATAAGAAACTGAAAGGTAATGAATGGGAAAAACAACTGTGAGCTTATCTTCATTAGTTGTTTACAATGACACTGCAGTGGCCTGGCAATTCCAATTTTACTCCCTGAGTTCATGATATTGGTATCCAAATTACAATTTAAGCATCCTTATCCTAGTATTTCTGTTCTGCAAAATATTTGCCAATCTAAAACAAAACATCAAAGAGAGTAAAGACGGCTCTTTCTTCACAGCCACAAAGCTGTGGCTGGATTCTGTTGAAGACTCCTTGGAAGGAAAGACTCTGAAATGAAATTGAAGCAGATTTAGGAATACAGATATCATACCGGTAACAGCCTTCATATCAAGATCCAATGGTTTAGCTGGTGTCTTCCTTTCACAAGGTAGCGAGATACTGTCATAGTTAATTTCCACGCTGCAGTTATCATAATCTGTTCCAAAGTGAATGGAATAAGTTAAACTCGCGATTTTGAAACTTTTTGCACAAGGATTGTGCACAAGGTGCACAACATTCTTTAGATGCATGCTACCCTTTAACTTCATTGCTCAAGCAACACACTAAATTTCTGACTTAGTTTTTGCTCATCCTTACAATATACATTTGGCTTCCTCTAGAAATTGAGCATCTTCCTTTTTTTTTTTTTGGTAGTGGTGGGTGAGTTTGATCAGAAAAGAAAGATTAATGAATTCCACTGCTTTACCATCTTCTTCTTCCTAGAAATAGCCAAAGCTTCTGCATGACTGTGTGAGGGTTTGTGTGGTTGCATGTCTGATCTCATTCACTTCTCAGCTCTTAGTCTATCAAGAGAAAAGGCACAGGAACTCAGATTTGCTGAATTTGAATATTCCCAAATCACTTTCATGATAAACATTTTGCTACCAACTGAGATGTTAGAAGGGAAGCCAATTGAAAGGAATCAGTCGTTTTAAGTAATGCTTCCTGTTTTATGCTATATGTACATAATGAGGAAAGCACTATTTGGCACTGAATCAAAATAGATGCAATACAGACAGAATAAGGGCACTACATTTTTGTCAATATCGTTTTCCTGCCAACTCAAGGATGGGTGGGTAGACCACAACTCAGCATAGGGAATGGTCCTCTTATAAAAACCATTAGTGAATCTTCAGTGGAGATATTTGTAGAAAAGATACATTGGAGATTAAAGCCCTACTTTCTTAACAGCAATAAATATGAAGAAATTTCAACAAGAATAGCTTGTGGTTCTTGAGCAATTTTTTCTTCTACATAACTATTACAATTACAGGAATCTTATCCTTTTCTCTGTCTGACCATTCCAAGTAGCTTGTAGTCTCATCCCAGATTTCCATTCAGCTTTTCATTTCCCTCCTGGAACTGATGATCAAATCAGATCCCATGTTTGTATCTTTTAATCCTGCTTTAGATACATTTTCCATATAGATGGCAGTCTACAAGCCAACATTACAGCCAGTGAAGCCCATTATGTACATTATGAAGTGTGCCATATCATATCCCTGCCAGGGGTGGGTTCTGGCAGCCGCTACTGCCAGTTCACTTGTAGTTGTGCAATGCGCACACATGCGCATGTGCAGAATCCAAAAACAAGATGGTGCCACCATGAGGACCGGTTCGGATGTGTGGCAGGCTTGGGTCACTGCCAGTTCCAGTGACCCAGGTCGCCAAACCACTACCAGTTCGGCTGAACCAGCCCGAATCAGTAGGAACCCACCACTGATCCCTGCCCCCTCTACAGCCAGGTTTTCATTCAATTACCTTCAGTGCTGAGCCCACTCTGCTCTGCAGGCACAGGAGGGAGAGAACGCCAAACCTTGCATTCTTCCTCGCTTATTTCATTGCCATACATGGCTTCTGGTTATAGACTTGATAGGGATAGAGATTCTGAATGGATTAAAATAGAGCTCTCAAGTTCTTAACATGGTCTCTAGATTTCATTTCTCCAGGAAGTCGTCAGATCTCCTTTTCTTTTGCTTCCTTTTTGTGGTAATACTGGGACAACAGGTGTTGTTGAGGCTACAATCAGTTGTGGCTGCAGCTCTTTCAGAAGGCTATCCTCAGAGGTGGGGGAAAAAAAGTCCACAGCACCCTGGTAACCACTTATCCCACAGAAGTGGCCCAATAAATCAAATCCCAGCCACTTTCTTTTAGCTTATGGGGAGTGACTGCTAGTGATGTATAATTGAAAGTGCTGGAAGACACAGAAAAGGCAGATTTTGCAGGGAAGAGATTCATGCTAATAATTGGTCTCATAATTTGGTGATGCTATCCTCTTAAGCACTCCTGAATTCTAAATAACACAAATATGCATGGGCTAGGCTGAGGTAGAAACATAAAAGCTCTTTTAAAAAAAATATATCTCCATTTGAAGCTTCCAATCCATTAGTGGAAAGATTGCGTTGAACCAGTCAACACCTGATAAAGAGCAAATAGGGCAGTTCTAGGTGCAGCTATGGGACAACCCAAATAAATTCAATAAGAAGAACAAAGCGTGGCCAAAGGAGGTAGATAAGAACAAAACAGAAGCTGAAATGGTAGAGAAAAAGACAATGAAGATCAAGAATCGGTCAGCACCAGATGAAGATGAACTGCTCAGTTTTTAGTTGAAACATCTGACTGACTTCTTGCCAAGCAGTTCAACAAGCAGTTTAACAACTGCCAAGCAGTTTAGTGCGAAGGGGTGAAACTGAAGATTGGTTAACATCTGGCAAAACCTACCTGATAATGAAAGATCCAACAAAAGAGGAAGCACTAGGCAATTACAAGCCAATTAGAACTTTCGAACTTATAACTGGTGCAGTAGCTGATGCAACCCAAGAGCATCTAGTTAAAAACAAGCTGATTCCACCTGAACAGAAAGGAAACTGCCCAAACAACAAAAGAACAAAACATCAGCTCCTAACTGGCAAGTTGATTGTAAAAAAACTGCAAGGCAAGATCAACTTGAAGGTTACTTGCTTTGATTACAAGAAAGGATTCAAGTCCTTGCCACATGATTGGATAATCAAGTGCCTAGAAATACCCATTGTTGTGAACAACAAATAATATAGCATAAGTAACATGTTGGCAGTTTTGCAACTATCACTTTTCCCAATAGCTCTAAGAATGGTTGTTTGTTGCTGTGTGGAGGTAGGAGTGGAAGAAATGAAGTCAGATTAGTTTGTAGGAGTGAGGGTGAACTGCTAATATCAATGTTATTTTAAGCAAGACCAGAAAAAAACAGGCTTAATAGTTAACGTGGGCAAAAATATTATATGTAATGCCCAGAATTTTCTATCTGAAATTCCTATATAGAAATCCACTTCTGCCTGCCTTGTTAAGAGTACTTTCCAAGATTACTGACAGGATTCAGAGGCCTTCTCCTCAGATGCACACATCTCACTTCAGATGAGAAGGATCTCCAAAAAAATAAGGGCATTAGAATGAGGAAAAGAAAGGGAAAAGATGCTACCACCCTGTTTCCCTGGAAATAAGACCTCCCCAGATAATAAGCCCAATTGGGCTTTTGAGCATATGCGCTAAAATAACACCACCACCCCCAAATATTGCAACACAGCAGCAGCCATGAAGTGATCATGCTCGCTGTCTCCTGCACTTCAAACATAATAAGACCTCCCTGAAAATAAGGCCAAGCGCTTATTTCGGGGGTCAAAAGAAAATAAGACCCTGTCTTATTTTTAAGGAAACACAGTATATGATGTTTCAGCTCCTTAGCTTATCTATTCCATTCAGCTTATTTTTCCTTGCAAAGTCTATGTACTGCACATATCAGGAAAGTTCTAGGATGAAAAAGTGTTGGAAAGAAGGTTAATTTATGATAGATATCAAGAAAATGGGAAAGAGTTAAGCACCCCCTTTTAATAGAAAAAGTATGTCAGAGGTGTATGAAGTTTATCAAACCATTTTCTTTGAGTTATGACTCATGTAGTCCAGTCAAGAAATAGAAAGCAAAGAGGGAGAAGTGTTCCATTAGTAGTTACATAAGGAATGCTGTTTCTCGAGAAATGACAGAGGGATGAATTAAACCAAAAATGGTCTCATTAGTTTCATGACCTCTTTCTTCTGAAATTCCCTCCCAACAGCCATGACTCACATGTTGGAAGATCTTGAAGGCACTTTCTGTTGCTGATGAATTTTTAATCTCCTTTGCCTTTTGATTGTAAACCTATAAAAGAAATAGATTGGTCTATCTGCCCGTCCATCTGCTTCTCCAGCCTGCAGCACAACATGGCTTTCTCCAAGTATTGTCCAGCTTATTTCTCTGGTGAAAGGGGGAAAAAAGGCCAAGGAACTTCTTCAGCAGAATTAGCTACTTTGACAGGTTATCCTCTTGCATTCAAAGCACATATTAGGTAAGTCTTGTGAAGAGGCTTTCTCACTGCTTTTCTCTACATACATGAAAAGTTGGACTATGCCCTGTAAGCATAGAATATAGCATGTGAATAGACAGCAAACCTATGCTTAGTGGGTCTTTTCTGTTTGTACAGTGAGTGAATCTTTCATATTCAACAAACAGTAAGTCATGTGTAGCCAAACCACTCCAGGAGACAGGTATGATTGTGCTTCCAATCTCTGCAATATGATTTCTGAACCTCTCCCAGGGACATGGCATGACTGTGTGTCACAGCTCTTCTGCATTGCTTGCTACCTATTGAATGGCGACGTCCCAACTATTATATGTAGAGGATGTAAAAGGTCAACACTGCTTTAAACTTATCCATGCCAGTGCAGAGACAGCTTCTATTTGTCTGCTCTACTTCTCATATTTGGTTTGTCATTTTCTTTGGGTGCAAGCAAGAGGAGCAGGGACTGAGAGGGAGAATTGAGGAAGTGGCTTACAGTCTTCTTAGCATCAAGAAGATTCACTTCCTTCTATGCTTTACTATATAGGAATGACAGGAATTGAGTGTTCAGCCACCATTTCTTTCTAATAAAGAATGGTTGGAGATTTATTATTCTTGATGCAAGGAGAAGTATCACTGAAGGAGCTGTTCTTCTCAACAGGTAGTCCTTGCTTACTGTTTTGTTCAGCAACTGTTTGAAGTTACAACACTGCTATCCCTCAGTCATATGATCACTGTCAGTACATGGTGTCCTGTTCCTGACTATTGTTTTCCTGTGTCGACCCCCCCCCCCAGAGCAGAGATATTGGAGGGGAAAGGATTACAAGAGAGCAAAAAGGCACACAATGGGGTACACACTATTGAAAGCAACATGCTGGTACTGGCAACCACTAGAGCACTCCACAACATTCCCCAATGTGTGCCTGCTTACTCTCTTGTAATCCCTTCCTCTCCAATGAATTTAGATATAAACATTAAATCTCTTCTGGCTAGTTATCCCAGCATCATTGCAGTGAGCATTCCAAAGGGCAGGGGAGTGGGGAGAAGAAAAGCACAATCGTAGTCATGTGGTTTTCCTCTTAGTGAATGCTTCACTTAGTGACAGAGTTGCCAGCCTCAATTGTGGTCACTAAACAAGGACTACCTGTACTTCTCTGCCCCAAGAAGTATGTGGAGATGAAGCAGGGAAGAACAACTCCTTTGGTATCAGTCTTCTAATTCCACAGAATGGAAACTCCACTCCATAGAGAATAAAAGAAGTTCTACAGACCTTCTGCTACTGGTGCCTATCACTAAAAAAGGCTTTTCCTGCTTCTCATGTCTCCTGGGAACTGAATCCATATTCTGCTTCACCACCAAGAGAGAAATCCAGGCATATTTTTATGCTGTGCAGCAGAAAAGCATTTCAATGTTGCCATGTGGAGGAGTCCATGATTCCCAGAAAAGTCTGATAATGCATGGCACTGGGTTTTCCAATCAACATTTGCAGTTGGTTTGAAAGGTGCCCAGATCTATGAACTCATTCTGACATGCACAAAGCAGACACTTTAGTACTGAAGCAGTACTAGACATCATATTCCAACGTCACCCTTAGGAAGCCATGTTAACCAGGGCATGCATTGGGATGATGATAAACGGATTTTCAGAGAAAGGTTTTAAGAACTTCGTGGAAGTTCTGAAAAGAGGAAGAGGGACTGCTCATGCTCATTTCCTTTCCTCAGAAAAAGTTTGGGAGACCTTTAGACTATAATAAATAGCTGAAAGTCCGACAGCTTCCAAAGACTGAGAAAAATGTCATCACCACAGGGTATCTATAAGAGATGCGAGGAACCCGAGGAACAGGGGAAAAAGCCAAGCAAGAAATTTGAAACAGCAGGTAATTGCCAGCTCTGTCTGGATTCAGAAATTTTGACTTGTGCCCTTGGGGGGGAGGGTTTCCAGAAAACCAGCTGTTTTTAGAGCCAAATGGAGAGGAACAGAACGGCAGCACAAATGCCTGCCAGCTGTTTAAGAATTTATTCATGAAAATGATTGCCAGTTTGGTAGAAGACCACAACTTCTTCAATAATATGAATTCTTATACTTATGATGTCTGACAATAAGCCTCAATCACCATGCTGGGACTTACTGATGATTAGATTTGTGCAAAATATAAAATGGAAAAAAATGGCAAAGGCACATTCTATGGGAAATGAATGGGTATTTGAGAAGAAAGAGAATATTCTTTCCATTTTCGCTTATTTCCAAACATTTAAATATTCCATCCACCTAGCAAATTAAAGGGATAAGGCAGAATTGTAGCTGCTTGAGGTACATGCTTACTGAGAGTAACTGTTCTTTGCTGATATGGAGGTTCATCATATGAGCTGCTGTAGCAATAGCAATAGCAGTAGACTTATATACCACTTCATAGGCCTTTCAGGCCTCTCTAAGCGGTTTACAGAGAGTCAGCATATTGCCCCCAACAATCTGGATCCTCATTTTACCCACCTCGGAAGGATGGAAGGCTGAGTCAACCCTG